CCAGTAGGCGATGTTCACGGCTGCCGAGGGGCAGCGCGAATAGCGACCCTCACCGTTTTTGATCGATCTCCTCCGAGATGGCCCCAACATCGCCTCGAACGCCCCCGAGAACGCCCCAAGATGGCCCCAGAAGGCGCGCAGGCGGCCCCAAACTGCTGCCAAGAAGCTCCCAGGATACCCCACACATGCCTCGAGGGGAACCCCCGAGGCAACTAAGGCTCTCATAGACTGCCCTGGGCCCGCCAAGATGCCCCCCCAGACGCCCAATACGCTCCCAAGATGCATCCGAGGATACTCCAAGGGGCCTCTGCCCCTCGGAGTCGCATGCGAGAGACGCGCGCGAGTCCGTCACTGGGACCATCGGTGGAGCTCCATATGGGGGCGCGAAGCGCTGTCCTGCGTGGGGCAGACACATGCGAGGCCGCCACTGGGACCTTCGGATGAGTTCCCAACGGGGCCCCGAACCGCTGTACTGGGTGCGGGGGGCGCACGCAAGACCGCCATTTGGACCGTTGGTGGGGTTCCATATTGGGCAGCGAAGCGCTGCCCTGGGTGGGGGGAGACGCATGCGAGGCCGCCACTGTGGCCTTCGGTGGGGCTCCCTATGGGGACACGAAAACGTTGTCCTGAGCGGGGAGGACTCATGCGGGACCGCCACAGATGCCTTGGTGGAGCTCCTCATGTGGCCACGAAGCGCTGCCCTGGGCGGGGGGGGGGGGGGGGGGCGCGCGCGAAACTGCCGCAGATGCCTTCGGCGGGGCTCCCCATGAGGCCACGGAGCGTTGCCCTGGGTGGGGGGACGCATGCAATACCGCCATTGGGACCATCGGTGGAGCGCCCTGCGGGGGGGCACGAACCGCTTTCCTGGGCGGGGGAGACGCATGCGAGACAGCCACAGGGACCATCGGTGGGGCCCCCTTATGGGGCCACGAAGCGTTGTCTGGAGTGGCGAAAGCGCATGCGAGACAGCCACTGGGACCTTCGGTGGGGCTCCCAATGGGTCCACGAAGCGCTGTCCTGGGTGGTGTGTAGGTGTGTGTGGGCGTGTGTGTGTGTGTGTGTGTGTGTGTGTGTGTGTGTGTGTGTGTGTGTGTGTGTGTGTGTGTGTGTGTGTGTGTGTGTGTGTGTGTGTGTGTGTGTGTGTGTGTGTGTAGTGCGTGCGTGCGTGTGCGTGTGCGTGTGTCGTGTGCGTGTTGCGTGTGCGTGTGCGTGTGCGTGTGCGTGTGCGTGTGCGTGTGCGTGTGCGTGTGCGTGTGTGTGTGTGTGTGTGTGTGTGTTGTGCGTGTGCGTGTGCGTGCGTGCGTGCGTGCGTGCGTGCGTGCGTGTGTGTGTGTGTGTGTGTGTGGTGTGTGTGTGTGTGCGTGCGTGCGCGCGTGCGTGCGTGCGTGCGTGCGTGCGTGCGTGCGCGCGTGCGTGCGTGTGTGCGCGTGTGTGCGCGTGCGCGCGCGCGTGTGTGCGTGGTGGTGGGGGGGGGAGGGGGGGCATGCGACGCCGCCACTGGGGCCACTGGTGGATTCTATCAGAATGGCAGCACGCTGTGCGCGGAGGAGCATATGCCATAACACGCGAGTGCCCATGGGCGTTCAAGCACAAGCGTTAACGGCCCCTTTGCTCACGCGGGCTTCGACGATGTCAGTCAGAGAGCGGGGGTGCGTTGATACCTTCGAATGGCCAACCAACTATCGTGCTCTGCTCCTTGAACAGGGCGGGCTGGTTTCCTTGATTGGGCAAGCCATCCGCGATGAGGACGCTCGTTGGCGACGGTGACCCATGGCGGGGGCGCGGCGGGAAGTGGGCAGCGATGATGCCGCCGCCCCGCAAAGGTGAGGAACTCTTGGGAACGGAATTGCCAGTTCTCTTTCCTCAGAGTCTTGGGGCCCTGGGGGCCCCACAGACCTCCGTAGCTTGATCGCTCGAGCACATTCAGCGCATTAAAGCGCGCGTGGTGATGGCTGGCGAGCGCGGCCGGGCTCTCAGGTCAAGGGGGGCACCCCTCGCGCGCGAAAACTTGTCGCGAGGTTTGCGCCATAGTGGCGAAGACGCGCGAGGTCGAACCCGCGCTGCAGATGATTACGTGAGCCTTGAATCATCACGTATTTACTCAACGCGGTCGGAATCATCTTTTGGGCCTCCCTTCGGCGCGCCCTGTTCCGCTGGAGACCTGGCCGTTCAGCTCACGAACCGCAGACAACAGTGCCAGCGCAAGAGTCTGAAGACCTTCTACCGCAACATTTAGGTTCGTTAGCTCCACCCGGATCTGCTCAGGCTCACCGCGAAGATCGCCAGGGCCCAGCCCGGGCGGCGGCAGCGGATGCTCCAGCGCAAGCACGCCGCCTCCATCACGATGCACCCACGGGTCCGCACTCCCAACGCCACCTGCAGGCGCGCCACCGCGACCACCGACTTGTTTCGCTGGATCGAGGTCCCACGGGTCTTCGTAGTCAAACTCCGAATTTGGAACCACCCTCGAAATCAGTTTCGCCTGGTCTGCGAACATCCCCCTCGGCTTCCACCGCAGACCATTGCGATGTTTGTTCGAACCCACGTGGCTGGGATTCGGCGCGCCCACGTTGCACAACGTGGACTTAACCACCCACTCCTCGGGCTGCCAATGGTACCGTTCTGGAATCACCTTTTCACCAGATGCACAAATAATTCGCTTTTGCTTGTGCTTCGGCACCTTCCCCAGTCGTGCTGGTCAACGTGGTTCCACCGCGCGCGCTCGCCCTTCTTCCGCGGGCATGCGCGCTGCTCACTGTTACGCAGGCGGTGCAACTACCGGCCCTTCGAGCCAAGACGAACTGCAACAGGGTTCGAGCCAAAGCGGCTGCGGTGGCCAACGTCGTTGCGTTTTATTATGCATTCCGCTCTGTGCGGTATCTTCGCTAACTCACCGCGGCGTCTCTTTCCGGGGTGGGGGATTGGGCGCCGCGCCGCGATTTTCTTGAACCTATCGGCGCAGTAGATGGACAAGATATTCGAACCCGCACACAGCCGAGGGATTCTAAATCACCCCCGCGCCCCCGACATCACTGTCGATCTCGGGGAAGGCGTTTCTTTGGGGTTCGAATATTCCCGCCCACTCACGCGACCCCCGTCGCCGCGCCATCCACATTAATTTCGGGGGGCGTGGGGGGCGCGTTGGGCCGCGGGGTTCGATATGATGTCCATGTGCGGTGCGACGGGACATAGCTTCCACCATTGCTCTGAACGCAGCACGCGGCGCCTGGGGCTGGCGCATTGGCAACGCGCTGAAGAGGAGGGAGGCGCACGCGCGATTCGCAAGTCACTCGGCATGTTGTCATACTGGGTCGTAGTCGCAGTAGTCGCGCCCCTGATACTCGTGCGCACGAGTCGCGCGCCGCGCACTGCGCCGTGCACGATGGGGCCCGTGTTCGGTGAAGCTCCTTATAGAGGCCATGGGACATGCCGTGGAGCGCGCGAAGGGTGGGGCGCCATGCGCGCGGCGCCCCCATGCGGACCCTTGGCCTTCGGTTTTTGAATTTCCCATGGCGCAGCGAAGCCTGCGAGCGATGACGCGCCGAATTCGGTGCGGCGCCACCGCGCCGGCCGCGCCGATGACGCGCCTGGCAGACCCCCCCGCGGGGCTACGATGCGCGCGAGGCGCGCTCCGACATGTCTGCGCGGAGAGCAGAAGCAAGGATGGGATGGGGAAGAAGGGGCAGGGGGCAGCGGGAGTGGGAAGGACGCAGGGGGCTACCTCTTCAAAGGCAAGGCTCTAACACAACAGTATGTTGATGAACGCGCAATTTGCGCCGTGTCGACTTCGTGCTTACGTTGGGCTTTGGCGCTTCAAGACTGTTCCGGCATTGGCCAAGATAACCCAACAATGTTTCCGTATAGTGTTCCAAGACGGCCCCGAGAGCGCCCAATGGCGCCCCCGAAGCGGCCCAATATGCCCCCGGGAATCACGCGCGTGTTCTTTTTTAGGAGCAAGGCGAAGCGCCGCCCTCCCCCACTCGGATTGACGCCATACTCCATGCCCCCCCCCCCCGGGAGCATCCGAGGTTCCCAAGAGGGCCCCAGGAAGCCCGAGAAATCCCCGAGTGCTATCCGCGCGGGCAGTGAACAGCCGCCTGATCACCCAGTATCATCCCAAATGCGCCAAACGTAGATCCCATAAATGATTTTGTTTGATGCAACCGTGGCCCGCCCCGCCCCCCTGTTTGAACCGCGCAACAATGTTCCCCGAATGCCGGAACATGTGTCTTCTTCTGCTTGTTCTGAGGGAAGCTGTGAATCGTAGTTGCTCGCGTTGCGCTTCTGATGCGTAGAATTACATACCGCGTCATCGATGATGGTTAGTTATCCATCGCGTTCCCTGCCGCGTTCCCTGTGCAACACAACGGAAATACGAAGCAATCGAAACGGAGTAAAACAACATCCCGCTTGCCACTCCAAAATCATGCGTGCACTCAAGTTAGGTGTCGGCGTACACTCCAAAATGATGCGTGCACTCAAATTTGGTTTTGGCGCACACTCCCAAATCATGCGTGCACTCAAGTTGGGTTTCGGCGTGCACCCAGAAATGGTGCAGACACTCATTCCGACACTCTTTCGGGCACTTTTACACAGCATGCAAAAACCACTCCCCCGATGCTACTACACAATTTTTATGGTTTTCGCAACTCTACAGCTGTAGGAGGGGTTCATACACTACGGCTCTGGGGCAGTGTAAGTGCCCTCTTGGGGCCATCTTGGGGGCCTCTTGGGCCGTTCCGGGGCCATCCGGGAGGCCTCTTGGACGATCGTTGGGCGATCTTTGGGGGCTCTTGGGTCGTCGGAGGGCCGACAAGAAGACATCCTTCATTTTGGCTCAATCTGGTGTGACTCAAGGGTAGCCGTTTTGATTTGTGGCCCTGTGTTGGGGGCAGCACGGATCTTCGCATCACCTCTGGTTTCTGTGCCATGGGAACCATGGAGGTTCGTCTGCCGTCGGCGTCCAGCCAAGCAACGATAGAGAGATATATGTTACCCACATGACCTCACAGCTGCCCGCGCACTTCGCTTTCGCCACACTGGTGCCGTGGAGATCGCCGCAGCGACCTTGCAGGCTCGCTTCACCAGACTCAGGATCTGAGGGCCACTGGCACACAGAGAGGATCGCGTCCCTGGCGTCTGAGTGCACCAGCTTGCTGGTGCCATGCACGTTCGAAACGCGGTACGAGAAGTCAATGATGAAGAAATTAATGGAACAGCTCGAGCCGCACCGTGACCTCTGCGTGTTCTTGCTGCAGTTGCTTGAGGTCCCGCGTGAACTGAGCTGGGAATGCGTGCAGACGGTCATGGCGCGCCACGACGCGCTTCTGGCCGTCGGTGCTGACGGGGTGTTGCTGGATCCTGGTGACAACCCAGATGAGCTGCGCCAAAAACTCAACATCGAGCGGTCTTGGTTCGAAGCGACTGAAAGGCGTGCACATTCGATGATCGTTTTTGACGACGACAATTTCCAGCGCATGTTGGATTATCACCACAGGCTGCTCTGGGAGGCCGCCCCGAAAGCTCTGATGCCCGATTTCGACCCAATCGATCGCAACCTCGTGGAGACGGCCAACAGGGTGGGCGATTACGAACTGACCAATCGTTTTAACACAAGGAGCGGCACCGTATTGCTTGCCAAGCGGAGCGAGTCTGAGCGAGTTGTCCTCAAGGTCTACGACAAGTCGGACCGCGTATCTGCTGCAGACCTGGAGTGCATCCATCGCGAACTGTGTTTCTTGAGGGACATGCTGAGGCACGCGCACATCGTCCGTTGCTGTGACATGTGTGAACCCTCCCGCACATCGTCAGTTTCTCCCGGGTGTACTTGACCCTCGAGTTTGGGGGCATGCAGAATTTGCACGAGCGCCTCATGGACCAGCCAGGGTACCGCCTCGACTTGGAGGATGCCATGGACTGCGCAATGCAGATAGCAGGAGCGCTGGCCTACTGTCACTCACGGGACGTCGTGCACAGACAAGTGTCTCTGGAACACATCATCGTGGAGGACCAGTCTGAAACGCTTTTCTGTCGCATGGTGGACTTCTACCAGGCGGCGCTCCGACCAGAGTCGACGCCGTCGACCACGCTGTGCGGAGACTTGCCGTGCATCGCCCCAGAGGTGGCCCTGGACGAGTCGTACTTCGCCAAGCCTGCGGACTGCTGGAGCCTCGGGGTGGTGCTCCTCGAGGCCGCCGGGGGCCTGGGCTCGATGAGGCAGGCGGTCGGCTGGCCGGAGGAGGCGGAGTTGACGCCCACCGCCAGAAGGATCAAGAACTTCTTCTCCCGCGAGGGCAGCCACGCTCGCGCACTGGCGGTCGTGGGCGGCGTGCGCAGCGAGCCCGTTTTGGCCAAGCTGTCCGCGCTCCTCGAGCCGAGGCCCACGGCTCGGGCGGCCATGGACGCCATCGCGCAGTCCTCCGCCTAGACAGGCGGCGCCTCGGAGGGCCTCGACAGCTGGAACGATGAAAAGCACCGCGCCTTGATCACATCACCCTTCCTTCAAATTGCTTTGCAGTGTCATGTCGTGCTAGCAGCAGCAGATTGGTGCTGTGGCATTGGTCGATTGACCACTTGCTCTGTTGACAGAGCAGCGCGAATTCCAATTCAGTTCCATAGGGTGCCTCCTCTGTGCTTTACCTGGGTCTGATTCCACGCGCGATTCAGCGTCTATAACAAGATGAGCCTTGCACCGCTCGCCTTCATTTGTTTCCATGATTGCCGTTCTCTCGTTGTTCGTCGCTGAATGTATTCGTTTCAACAGGGTCGGCACAAGTGTTGCCAAGTGTTGCGCGGGAGGCGCCGTCCTTGCTCCATTAGATTTGGCATAGTTTTCCGCCCTTTCTCGTGGGCGACCGGCGCTGCACGCCCAGTCAGCGGGGGGCAGCGGATTTTCCATGATTGCCTTTAGCTCGCTGTTCGTCGCTGAAGGCCGTCGTTTAAACATAATCGGCGCAAGTGTTGCGCGGGAGGCGCCATTTTGGCCTCTTCTGGCCATCCTGGAGGTCCTCTTGGAGGCATCTGATGTCGTCTTGGAGACCTCTTTGGGGCCTCTTGAGCCGTCTTTGGCCATCTTGGGCGGTCTTGGTGGGCTCCTGGCCCGTTTGACGCCGTCGGAAGCCTTCTTGGGGGGCTCGTCTGGGTCGACTTGGAGCCCTCTTGGGGTGCTCAAGGGCAGTCTTGGAGGCCATCTTGGACTTCTGGCAAGACCACACTTGTCACTAGTGGCCTTCGGCCCAATCCGCCACCGTGACTGCATTGTGAACAAGAGGGCAAGAGGCCTCCGTGCTGTCCATACTGTCTATGGTCTCTCGGGGCTCTCCTTGGGGCCTGTTGGGGCTCACCTTGGGGGCCTCTTGTGGGGGGCTCGCTTTGTGAATCGCCAGTGTTAGAGCAAATGCATGTCTGCATTTATGAATTATGAATGTGTGCCCCAGCCACTTGCATGGCTGGCGTTACGGCGCCCACCTGCGACGGCCTTGCCGGCGACAGCTGAAGGTCCGATGTTTTGGGACCTCTCGGGGGCCTCTGGGGGGGCTCTCGGGGCACGCTACCAGTCTTAGAGGCCATCTTTGGAGGAAACTGCTCCTGAGGCTTCTTCGCTTTCCCCCTCTTGGGGCCGTCTTGGGGCCCTCGTCGAGACCTCTTGGGCTGTCTTTGGAGCATCTTTGACCTTCTTGGGACCCCCTTGGGCTGTCTTGGAGCCCTCCTTGCGGCCTCTTGCACCTTTTTGTTGGCGATCTCGAGGGCCTGTTGGGCCGTCTTGGGCATTCTGACGCGCGAACATTCGACTTCGTGTTCTGAATGTTTGCGCTTGTCATGATAATCAACGGTTGTTGCATCTTTTGGCCCTCTGAGGTATCCTCGTCGGGTCCTTTTTGGCGTCTCGGGAGCCTCGTGGGTCGTCTTGAGTCTATGTTCGGTCGTCTTGGGGCCCTCTTGTACCATTTCGGGGCCATCTTGGGACCCTCTTCGGCTGTATGGGCACCCTCTGGTCTCAGGAAAAGTAACGTGACAAGCCCCAGGGATCATCCGCCACGCCCCAATATATCTGTGAGTTGGCGGCCTGGGCCCCTCAAGCAGTATCCATGATTTGGCAGGGGCCGACGGGACCTGAAGACACTCCGCTTGGTGCCAACGGCACGGTGGCAGACATACAGCTGTCAACCACACATGCACATAGAAGCTTGATCCGTCACAACTTCAGACGGACCGGGAACGCTGGTTCTGGGGCGCCCCCAGACAGCACAATGCGGCTGCAGCGGGCCCAAGAACGCCCCACAAGTCGGGCCACAGACGGCCCAATGTGGCCGCGATACGACGCAAGGAGGCCCGACGAGGTTGCTCAAGAGGCGCAGAAGAGGCGAAGCCATTGATGTTCCACCATCATGCGTATGCGATTTCGGATCGCTCGCCTTTTGGTCTTCCGATCTTCCAAGACGGCCACACGGACCGCCCGCAAGGCGCCCCAGAGGCCACGAGAGGGGCCCGGGAGTTGCCCAAAGATGCTTGGGGGTATCTTGGAGCCCCTCAGAAGCGTGCTGAGGGCCTCCTGGGGGCCTCTTGGGGGCCTCTTGGGGGCCTCTTGCGACTACGTTGGCGGTCTTGGAGTCAATCTGAGAAGGAAATGCTCCCACGGCCACTTCAAATCCTCATTCGGACCGTCGTGGTGGGCTCATGTGAGCCTCGTCGACCATCTTGGGGCTCTCTTAGGCCGTCTTGGGGCCCTCCCGGGCCGTCTGAGGGTCCTCCTGGGCCGTCTTGGAGCCCTCTCGGGAATCTGTTGAGCCATGTCGGAGTTTCGCAAGCTCGAAGGGCGAGTATGCTAAAATCTGTTCAACATTCCTGTAGGAATATCCATCATTTTTCTTCTCGAGGCTCTTGTCGCTGTCCTCTGCAAGCTGCCTTGCGATGTCATGGCGGCCTACTGGATTGTCTTGGAGCTTTGTGGATGCCAGAGAGAGCGCCAGAAAGCAGAACTCTGCGCGCTACGAGGGGCCCGAGAAACGCCAAGGAGGCCATGCTGGCTAATGGAGGGGCCTCCTAGCACGCCCTGGCGTGCCAGCATGCCGCCGGCACGGTGGCATATTCTCGCAGGTCTTATTTTGGTAAGCATATTCCGACGTGCGTATTGCATTCAGACAACATCGATGGGTTGACGTGTGAGAATACATCTCCTGGCAGCTCCTGCTCTTCCTCTTGACTCTCTTTGTTCGTCCACGCCCTTTTGACGTCGCGGGCCCTCGGGGCGTCTGTAACTCTGCCATGTTGCATCATGTGCGCACGTGATCTCGCTATATCATCAAAGACACGGCCACCAGAACGTGCATCTCCGTCTCCTCGCACGCCTCCACTTCCTTGGGTCCTCTCCACGGGGCGGATTCCTGTATTTTTCGAGGTTGGCCACTCCTAGGAGGCCCTCGTCGCCACGGGAGGGGAAGGGACGCCCCCCCCATCACCCTCCCTTCTTCTTGGCCGATGCCGCTTCCGCCGTCGTCGCCGCCGTCACCATCGCCGTGGCCTTCGACCCCTGGACCCCTCGTCGAGGCGAATGCGGCCCTGGCGAGAGAGCCGCCCCCTCGCACCCCGCCCCAAACGACGCATGCCCCTCCTCGTCCTCGCCGCCGCAGCTGCCGCTGCCGTCGCCGCCGTCTGCGCCGGCTTGCAGCGTCGTCACTGCCCCGCGACGCCGACGCCGCCGTCGCCCGAGGCCGCCTTTTTTGGATGGCCGCCGACGGCCTCCGAAGGCCGCCGACGGCCGCCGTCGCCCGGTGCGCGCCCCGAGACCCGAGCTGGGCGGCGTGGCGGGAGGGCGCGCTGCGGCCGAGCGGCCCGCACGCCGCGGCCGTGTCCCAGTTCGACTCCCTGCCGGACGGGGCCCGCCCCTGCGGCGGCGGCGGCGCCGGGGCTCGGGGCCCCCGAGAAGCGGGCTGCGCCGCAAGCCAGGGCACCGAAGATGCCAGCTGGGGGCCGCGGATCGTCCCCTGGCCGTCACGGGCGCGACCGAGGGGGGGGGAAGGAGGGGAGGGGGATGGTCATGTCACGATTCTGAAGATGCCAACTGGGGGCCGCCGATTGTCCCCTGGCCGTCACGGGCGTGACCGAGGGGGGTCACGTCATGACACGTCATGATTCGCGCGCCAGCGCCGTCCGGGAGTGCCCAGGAGTGGCTCATTCCCGGACGGCGCTGGCGCGAGTCGTGCAGGGACCAGGGGGAGGGGCTTGCGGGGGAGGGGGGGTGCTGGCCATGAGCCTTATCAGATCGCGGCGGCCCCAAAGTGGTCCAGGGAACCTCCGCACAGCGCCCTGGCACCTGTCCTCCTCCTCCTCCTGCTCCTCCTCCTCCTCCTCGTCCTCCTCCTTGAGACAGTGAAGAATGGTGAATGGGTTGACCCACGGCTGCAGAGTGCTCGGGTGCGCCGAGGTCCTGGTCCATCGGCGTTCCCGTCTCGGGGGCCCCGAGTGGCCTCGCCGTGAGGGGAACGTGCCAGCTTTCTGAGATGGGGCCTGGGTAGATTCTCGGGGGCGGCCAAGAGGGTGGTGATGACTGGGGGGTGGTGGATGCCATGGCGTGGGCCATGGAGCCTCTTCTTGTTTCATTACGTCCCTGCCCTCCCCCCTGGGCCGCGCACATGCCGCTGGCCATGATTTGCCTCCCCCCCCCCCCCTTTCCCCCCCCCTCTTGGACGACCCCTCTCGGCCGCTCCCGAGATACTCGCAGGAGGGCCAGTTGAGACAACGGCGGCCCTTTGGAGGCTTCTGGCCGTCACGGCTGGATCCGACTCGAAGGACGGGGTCGGGATGGTTTTTTGGGGAGGGATCGGGCGACGGATTTTGAGAGGATTTGGGCGAGGCGGGAGAGTCACCGTCGTCTCACGTAGCCGTCCAGAGATGGGGTCGGACGATCGCGCGTCGGATCGCCTATGCACCGGCGACGCGGCGCGACCCAGAGTTTCCATCCCGACGTCGCCGATGCATCGGCGATGCATTGGCAAGGCGGTGCGATCTGCTGAATCCACTTACTCCAGCCCACTTTGCCCTAAGGCCTAAGGGCAACTGAGGATGTTGGCCGACTTCGGGCTCCCGGGGCCCTCGCATGGATCCCAGAGCGTCGGAAAGCGAGCTCGGGAGGGAGAGCTGCTCTTCGGGGAGAGCCCCTGGGCCAGGACCAGTTTCCCTCCAGGCCCGTTTCTTTCGTGCTGGTCGTCATTGTCGTCGTCGTTGTCGTCGCTGCCACCTTTACCGTGGTCGCCGTCACCCTCGTCGTCGACATCGTAGGCCGTCGCTTGGGCAGGCCTCGGATGAAGACCGGTCGCTCCACCAGGGCGTTTCGGATCGCTCTCGGGACACGCCTCCCCTCAGAGCTTTACGAGTATCTTACTATCTGGGATGCTGTTTGCTGTAGCCTTCGTCTCAGCCGCCGGAGGA